AACGTTCGCGATCGCTTTTGCGGGATCCGCGCGGAAGATCGCGAAGTATCTTCGCGAACACTTTACACTCCTCCTATTTACCGTGATTCTGCTCATTACGCGAGTCATCACACGCGCGAGGGAGCGAGCGCGAATATTGGCGCGGCGATGCGCTTTCCGCCGTGAGCGGCAAGCTGGACGTCCGGAATGCGAGCGGAACCCGTTTCTATGAGTCAAGCCCGACTATTGACAACAGAGAGAAAGAGAACAAGGGAGGGAGGGAGAGAGAGAGAGAGAGGGAGAGCGCGAGATAGGCCGCGGGTGAACGAGAGAAAGAGAGCTGCCCGCGGCCCACGATAGCCGATCTTGTGGTTCTGGATCGTAGCACGCGATCCGATGTATCGTGCAACAGCGGCGTTGGAGAAAGAGAGAATGAGAGATAGAGAGGAATGGTAGGGAAGAGAGAGACCGGGGCAGGGGGAGGAGAGAGAGAGAGGAGGAATTTGCGGGATCGAATCGTGTTACGCCGCGAAGATCGGCTTCGATCGGGGCGCAAGGCAGCGTGACGAGATGCACGTAGGATCGCATTTAACGTGTAATTGGTTCACGGACGATGAATAACGCGGATTTTGTACAGAAGGGCAAAGAGACTCTATTACGGGACTGGGAACGCGCGCGCGCACGCGCACGAGCTCTCCTAGCTTCCGTGAGCTGCCGAGCTGCGGAATGCAGACCCGAGTTCGATCGATTTTCGACTAGTCTGTATCGTTGCGGTTGCAATAACCACGGAAACTTGATCGCGATCATTTGAGACGCTATAAATCCATGTCCATGTTACGACGGCAATCTTGTAATCTCTCTACGTACAACGTCGAGTTAACTCTCTGCGTGCAATCGTATTTTTTCGGACGTGCAGTACAATCTGGGTCTGTCGGAGTCGAACAACTTTGAACTATATTGAGAAGAAAACTATTCGAAAAGGAAAAAGATACTCGTTCGATAGGTATATAAATTTTTTCACTTAAATAGAATAAGCAATTGCTTTGATGAAAAGCTAAGGGGTTTCAGGGAAATTCATATTTTTTTATTAAAAAAAATATATATCAGTACAAGTAAATGTGTGTTATTAGTTCCTATCGAATAAATATCTTTTATTCTTTGAAACATAAAACATTTTTTCTCACCGTATCTTTGTTGAAAATCAATTTTTTAGATATTTTTTTCCTAAAGATAAGCCTCAGCTATAAGATAGTAACGCGACCAAATCAAAATCTGCAGACTTTTGAAATGGACCATTTATGAAAGTTGGTGCATTGCGAAAGAATACTTTTTTGTCTGTGGGATATAAAGTTTATTTCTGTGAATAACACAAACCCAACATTGGACACAGAGAATTAAAGCTCTACTATCACTCATTCTTTTTATCATTAATAATAATCCGCGGGTTCTAGCGTTTGAACCTCTCCGGTTCTCGATTCGCGGGATTATTCGTTCTACGAGGGGATCTGGCGAAGATCACGTGCAAGAGATCGCGGTGCCCAATAAACGCGCGACTTCCAACGGGTCCCGTAATACGATCGGCGCGCGCTCGTAAATTTCTCGATTGGAAAATAACGTCGATTTATCGGCGCGAATGACCGAAACGCGACGCAAGTCGAGCATCGCGAGGGGGAAGGCTGTAAACGGAAGTAACGGTACCGTGCGGCGAGAGATACACGAGAGCGTGTGATTCCATCGCGCTTCCGAGCCAAACGGGTGGTGAGACCGATACGCGAGACTCCGAGCCGCGATAATTAATGAGCCGAGCGATCGAGGCGCTCGCAAAAAGCCCGATAATAACCAGAAGTCACTTAGATACGAATATATTTCTACGCGACCAGACGAGAAACACGAGTTCCTCACGCAGTCGTAGCGGTGCGATCGCAATCGAGTTCATCGATCCATAATGACAGTCTTCGTGGCTCACACAGCGGTTGTTTCATCAAACACGTATATCTACCGTGCATTTAATTGGCTGGAAATTTCCTTCTCGGTAGTTGAACCTGGAAAATCGACATTGTGAGCGCGCGTGCGACATTCGAAAACGCCCTTCCAGTTGAGTGAAGATCGTTTACTCTGAAATATATAATCCTACTTTTAGCGGGATTCTCTTACATTATGGCCCCGAGAAGATTCTGCTAGATTCAAGAGGAAAGTATTCTTAAAGTTGAAAAAATGTCATCTTTTACAACACAAGTCTTGTTCTTGATAGAAATTCCTTATGATAAGAGAGCATTCTGCTTCAAATAATCGTATTCCTCTTGATTCTTAATAAGAAAATGTGTTTGAGTAGTACTTAGTGGATAGTTTACCTTCATTAAAAGAGGAGTACTCTTTCGGTGAGAGTTTCCACTTAGGATTGCGGAAAGTAGCACTTTGCAGTTAGAAATCCTCCGTTGCGTGTTAGAATACTTAACCTTCTAGAAGAATTCTCTTCAGGCCGCATTTAAGAGAATTCCGCTAAGAATACGATTTTTTTTTTTCGAGTGTTTGTAACGTTCGCTCGCGTCTCCCATTCGATCACTCGTAGCTCGGCGACTATTCTTGCCACGCGGCGTTGCAATTAAGCGAGATTCCTCTCGGGAGACTCGCCGACAGATTTACGATCGCAACGGAAGAAGTGGAAAGGGTTTCGGGTGACGCTATATGCGCGTTCCGTTAGATAAGCCCCAGGTAGGCGTGTTTGCCGCAGATATGCGCGAGCTCGCGTGACCCGCTCGTGTCGAGTGAGAGGAAACGTATGAACAACGAGCCCTCAGGAGAGAGAGAGGCTGTACGCGGTCATAGAAAGTGATAATAATGCGAGCATACAGTAATGAAGTATCGCCGCGATCGTCTCGCTCGCGCAGGACGACCGCCGCCGTTGGGTCGCCTCCAGTGGCTCGATACACCTGGGGATCGTGTAAAAATCGAATTAATTATACGACGCTCGCACGACGGTCGTAACTTTTTGCTGTTAATAACGGCGACCGTGGTATAACGCGTTATTAACGATAGAAAATTATCGAAACTCGACGATTTAATAGTCTACGAAGAATTTTACGATCTTGTAGGAAATTCTTCAGGAGAAGAAGAAGAGAGAGAGAGAAAGAAAGATTCTTCTTTTTTCTCAAGGAGTATCATAGGAAATTAATTTTAATTATCTTGGGAAGAGGTTTAATTTTAATGGATCAATTATTCATTAGTTGAGGCAGATAATATTAATTCAAAGATACTTGTCCCGTTAAGGCTATATTTCCGTTTTATTGAATGATTTATCATCGACTTGTATGTGTGTTGGAGTACGTAACGCGAATAGATCCGTTAATATGAACATTTAATATCCTTTGATTAAAGTAAAAATATTTAACTCTGGACATTCTTATTATTTTGGCATTTATATATATATAAATCCAAATATCTGACATTTCAATATAGAAAAGAGGTCTGTTCTTTTTAGCTTAACTGTCTGGCGCAATAAGTTAGAATGAAACAAGATATATTTGTCTTCGACAGACCAAAATAATGAGTGTGTCCATTAGTGCGTTTACTTTACTTCCGGCAGCTGAGCTTCATCAACTACAGAAAAAGCCGACGACGCGAGTGCGAATTCGCGGAGTTCGTCGTCGCGATTGTGTTTCGCGCTCGGAGAGACGCCGAGACCGGATCGCCCAGTTTTCCCTCGCGCTTATCTCGCGCGGCCGGCAATTTGTCTCGGGATTCTTCACGTCGCGATCAGATACGTGCACGCGTCCCACCGTGGCACGGTGCGGTACGGTGCAGTGCGGTGCGGTGCATGCGCCAACGAGTCGCACGGCGACTTTTCCGCGAGCGAGTGAGCGAACGAGCGTGTTCGCCGAGCGCTAAAGGTCATCGTCTGCCCGCTAAGTGTTACGCGAACTACCGCGCGCGCGATCTTTCTAATTACGCCGTTCTCGGCCACGCGGCTTTTAACCCCGCCGGTGCGCTTCGTCCCCTGCTCTGCCGCGCATTTACGGCGAGAGGTCACGACACGGCCAATTCTTCTCGTCTCTCGCGCGTGCGAGCACTGAATCGTGCGATTAAGCGTATAAACAAGAGGGCGCGCAGCTCGCAGCTATCAGATTCGTGCGTAATGTTAAAAAATAAGCAACACGCGCGATAATGGACGCAAACGTAAAATACTCCGACATTTATTTATTTGCGTGATATCTCCAGCTCCAGTAAACACACATACTCTCTTTCTCTCTCTCTCTCTCTCTCTTTTGCTCTCTTTGTAATTAGTATACAAATAAATTAATGTACCAACTCGGCCAATAGAAGCCAGTCGCAGGGGTTTAATTCGCGTGATTAATCATTATTCTTCCAAAATGAAGGATTGATCATGCAAACTACATTCCGCGACTGGACTCTTACTATTGGAGCCATATTTCTAAGGTTTGTTTTCTGCCGCGAAATATGATATAATAATCGCGTTGTCTGATCGCCAAGAGATCTCGGCGCGATATCCAACGGCGCGTCGCGCGTTCCCGCGCAATCTGATCGGATCGAAGTCGCGGAGGATCTTTCCCTGCGTCTTCAATCTCCGAGGCTCTCCACGTCTTTCCGCGTGCGCGACGTAACACGACACGAGCGTGTTAACGCGGGCGAATCGCAAGCATCGCGCTGAAACGCGAAAGCGGTTACGAGAGCCGAGATATAAACTATTTACACGTTCCGCTCGAAATAACACGTTCCCCGGCTGACTCGTCGCCTCCTTCTCGAGGCCACGTTCCTCGCGCGTTTCAAATGCGATTCGGCGAACGCCAATGCGGAATATACCGACGGAAGCATCTTTCCTCGTGATCCTCCAGTTTAATCACGTGGCGACCTCACGTGCGAAAATCTGCGAGAGAAGTCGGCCCGTTTCTTCCGTTTGGCCGCCGGATAGGAAGGATAGGTTGTTGTATCCCGTATCTGTCGTTCGTTTTTTAGCCGGACGGACTATTCCGACGGTCCATTAATTATTTCCTGACCTGTTCCAGAGGCACCGCCGGCACCATCTCGGAAGCCATGCTGGCTGACGAGCTCGCACGCACCCGGCGAGGAGACGATGGTAGAAAGCCGAGCTTGCAACCGCCTTAACGCTCGCACGCACGATCGATCGATCGATCGAACGAACGAAGGAACGAGCGATCGAACGTCCGCATTGTCGTCGTTTGGAAGAGGAAGAGAGACGGCGAAGAAGGAGGAACAGGGAGAGTGCGGGCCGGGGCCCTCCTCGCAGGCCTGATCATGTCGCGGAACACCATTCCTGCCTTTGATCTTGAGACTCTTCGACGCGCCTCTCACACTACGTAGCAGCGGCTCCCAGCGGCTCCGTCCGTCCGTCTGTCCGTCCCAAGGTGTGCCTCGTCGGCGCATAGTTCCGCGTTGCGAGCCCGATATGTGAGCCGCCGGCTCCATGTGGACGCCGTCGCCATGGTGGAACTAGTGTGCAGCAATTCGTTGAGCCCGGGAACAACGTAGCCTTGGTTCACGCGCGAACGCCTTTCCACGGCCGAGACCAACCGTGGCTGATCACATACGATTGAGAAGAGAGAGAGAGAGAGAGAGAGAGAGAGAGAGAGAGAGCCGCTCGCGACGAATGACGTGCCTTGCCGCGGACTCGAAGAAGACCCCAGTGCGACGTCGACACAGTGAATTCGATGCTCGACAACGAATCCGAATATATTTTGTCACGTGAAATTTTTAAGTGCGCGAGCAAAGAGAGCGAAGAAAGGTGATGCGCGTCTCGGTACGATGAGACCGGGGTCGAAGTCGACGTTTCACCACACTCGCGAGTACGGAAGCTCGAGTTTCGCTTAACTGTGACGTCGGGTCAGCGCGGCGTGATGAGAAGAGAGGTGACAGCGAAGTCTCGATGAATATCGCGAATCTAGCTCGACGACGGACGTCGGTATAGACGGCGAGATTGTGAACGAGTCGCACGTGGTGCTATGACACGACAGACTCAGCGCGACTCGGTACTTGCTTCCGTCGCGAGGCCGCCATGTGAGGATCAGCGCGTCGAGACGCTAGAGAAGAGGCCTCACCCCGCGTGACACCAGCGTAATGCTGAAGCACATCCTGACGGGGCAGCCGTCGTCAACGGGCTCCAGGCATCATCACAATGATTATCAGACGAGCTCGGGCTCGTTGCACGGTGGCGGGCACCATCATCACCATCACTTGCACAACAACTCCCTGCATCAGGACCAGCAGCCGCAGCCGCAGCAGCCGCAGTCGCAGTCGCAGCATCACCACCATTACACTGGGAATAGCGGGACACGCAGCAGTGGCAGCAATGGTGGACATCGTAACAACGGCGCCGACGTGTACGACTCCGTGGTGCAGAGGTCAACGACGGCGTCGAACGCGCACGGTCAGTCGGCTACGACACCGTCGTCGACGCACCGGCATCCCCTCAACCACTCCCAACTGAGCGTCAACAACCTGTCGCAACGGTTGAATCACTCGCACGCGCTCAATCTGTCGACCCTGTCGACCTCCAAGCACTCGGTCAATAGCGTCAGTCCGATCGCCGGCGGCAACGGCAACAACAATAACAACAACAATCATCATAACAACAACAACAACGTCTCGGTGAGTCAGCTGGGGCACACGCTGATCTCGCAGACGACGTTGCATCAGGACAGACCGAAGGCGAACGGCGGTTTCGATATATCCAGGCTGTCGCGGCTGCCAAGTCAAACCACCCCTTCGCCAGCACCTGCGGCCGCACCTGTTGTAGCGGGCCAAGTGGCCGGTGGGCCGACGGTGATACCTTTGAACGCCTCTTGGTCGTCGTCTCTGTCCCGCAATCATCGCGGTCAAGAGGCCGGTGTGAAGGAGATACTCACGAGCCTTGGCTTGCTGTGCCTGGTGTCCCTGCTGTTGGCCCTGCTTTCGGTCATCTTCCTGCTGAAGATTTCGCCGCTCACGGCCATGTCCAACAGCCTCATCAGTCCGGAGGAGTTCGTGATCGTATACGAGGTCACGTTGGCGCTGTGCGCCCTCGCCCTGTCGCTGAACCTCTGCTGCCTGCTGGTCTGCGCCATACAGTTCCTCTTCGCCGTGAAGCTCGTCAAGACGTCGTACCAGGGTCACCGGTAAGTCACTTTATTCCCTCTCCTCGATGTACTTATTCGACAAACGCTCCTCTACCAAAACTTGAGTTGCATCAGCGCAATTTAATTTCAATAATCTTACAATTGCTGCGATTTCATTCTTTCAGTTATCAAATAAAGCGCATGGAAGTCCAATTGAAAAGCGATCTCGACAATTTTTCTTCTTTTCATTTTATCGCGACTCTCCGAAAGGGAGGATTCTCCTCTTCTCAACGGAATGAGCGAGCCTCTCACGAAAGTGACACGCCCGAGCAATGAAAGATTCTTTAGACCTTAATAGGGTCTTAAGAAGATTCCGCCTGTTGACGGGCTTATCGCGGAACGGCGGCCGATGACTAATGAACGAAATGAAAAGGGCAGGCGCGCACACGGGTAGGACCGGCCAGGGGACGCGCGATGCGCTTGTTTGTGCGCGCGCTTTGACACGCTGGAATCCAGTTCGATTATTTTTCAGCTCTAATGGGGGCCCGCCGCGAATCGAGATCCGCAATTAATTAGCGCGGCAAGAAGGCGATATTCCCCGGCCGATTCGGCACGATCGGCGCGCAATAAGGCCTCGCCACCACCGCCGTCGTGACCTCCGGACTCGCGCGCGGACCACAACGCGACGTTACGAAATCATTTAAGGGCCGGCTCACACCTACCGTGCACATGTTGTGATTTTATATATCACGAAGTTAAGACTTTTGTCCATCATCCGTACCTCCGAAGATCATTTTTAATGTCGAAAAAATTTATTTTCAAACAACGTGGGCGCAAAGATAGTGCAAAGGATATTGAAAAAGTTAATGTTCTTCACGACGGAACCTTTTCATCGAACGGTGATTATTTCAGATGTCTGTGTAAATGTTACGGTAATTAATAACGAGCTAATAGACTAATGTCCATTTATCCGTTTCATGTCTTATGTTTTTACTGTTGTACACTGAGAGAAAACATTCCTAACAAATAGAAAATATTTCTTTGGTGGGTGCACTAATGACATGTTTATTTAAATCAAAATTCTTCCGTCTAAACAGAAAAAAAATTGTTTTCATAAAAAATTGAGGTTTTCTTAAATTTTTCTAGTCTTCAACTTAAATATATACCTTCTTATTTAAAAACTATTTCACATTAGTGCAAGCAAATGTTATTCACTAAACAAATATTTATTATTTCTTATATATATTTTTTCTATTAGTGTAGAGTTTGAGATTATTTTAGATTCGCTCTTTTTTCCTTCTTTTAAACAGAACTTTGACAGCTTATCTTGAACTTCGGGCCGGTGTACGTCGGCCTTTAAGGAACGACGTACTCGTTGAACGTCGACGTGCTTTTATCGGATGTATTGCGCTGCGTCGCGCGGAAAATTTCGATTCGCGGAATTCCACTCGCGTGCTGAATCGGGCTGCTTCGTAATCCTGATCCCAATTGAAACACATAACATAAACGATCGACGCGGCTTTCAGTAACGCCGACATCGTAGCTAATAACCGCGCGGTCAGCGAGGACAGGAAAACGCCCGAGGCCCTTTTCGCTGCCCGAGACATTATTTCTCGACCTTCGAATCGAAAATTATGCAAACGCGCGTCCTTGCACGAGCCGGAGAACACGGCGACGATATCGCGGTGGTTTCAATCATTGACCCGAGTCGAAGTTTCGATCTGAACTTTCTAACATCTGAAGGATCAACCCGAGTCGAAATTTTAGTCCTGTTTTCGACCTGAGCCTTCTAACATCCATATATTTTGAAGGATCAATGTATGTTTGATACACATAGAAACTGAAATCTTCCTTAACTGCTCCAAATGGTAGAAAACAAAATGCCACTTGTTCTAAAGAAGATCTCTCTTGACAAATATATTAGTAGGTGAAATAGAATCAAATCCGAGTCGAAATTTTGTTATATATTAAACCTTGAATCCAGTAAAGACTAAGTTAGACAAGTGAATTTAATTCTGATACAATTTACTCCTACTTTGACCTTGATGATGTCCGAAATTTCCTTTTTCATTTTCTTTAGCGTCAAAATAGGTTGTATTATAAGCTTTAGAATGTCAAAATAAATGTTGAATGAAATAGTGAGGCTGAAAGTAATATTAAAATTTCAAGTCGGGTTAAATAGAATAGGTTAAATAGAATTAAAAGAGACTGATGTAGGACTTTAGTGTATCGGAATAAATGAAATATTGAGACCAAAAGTAAGTTAAAAATCTCGATTCGGAAGCATCTTCGAGCTGTTAAAGACGACTGGACGTCGACGATTAGCACGGCACGGTCGCGCGAATTGTAAGATAAGACACGCACTCGAGCGTCATAAAAGCATACATATTCCAAGTCCGGCATTCAATCAATCTAAGTCTAAATTGCATACGCGCGCACCAAAGTGCCGGTTGCTTAAGCACTCGGGCGGGGAAACACGAGGTTTCCACCGATCGTGGTCGCAAAAAGAAGAAGAAAAAGAAGCAGTAGCTCAAAACTTCAGCCTCTCGACGGACTGCGAACCCTCGCGCGATACGCGCAAGTGCGACTAGATAATTACACAGGAAGCGATGAGACTCTCGCGTATAGTGATGGTAGGATACCTAATGGGGTACCGTGGCGCTCGTACGAGGAGAGCTCTTCCCGCGGAATCGGAGGAAGCGATTTGTGCGGATCGCGGCCTCCTCTGCTCCCGCAGAGGAGGGCGTTCTCTCCTGTTCTCCACCTCGTGCGATCTCACGTCGCCGCCGCCGCCGCCGTCGTCGTCGTCGTCGTCGTCGTCGATGCCGTTGCCGCACCTACGACGTCCGCAATCAAGATCACCCTCGCGCGCCGCGATGGGATGTGTTTCCCAGTCAACCATGCGTGCATGCGCCCGTGCTCGTCGTACTCGAATATACCGCTGGATCTCGTATCCAGCACAAGAGAGGGGCGAGAGGGAGATCAGTGCTCCGAGACACACGATATATCAGCGTGTCTTATACACCCGGCCGTGCGTTTCTTCTCACGGCGAGAGTGTGCGCGGCCGCGAAACGCAAAAATACGCGCGCGCGCGCGCGCGTTGTTACGTGCACACGCACGAATTGCACGCAACCGTATGCATACACGCACGCACATACGCACGCACGCACGCACGCACACCCGCGTGCGTCCGGTCCGAGTAGAATCGGAGCGAGACGCAGGTGCGTAGATCACGATGTCGCGCTGCCACCCCGAAATTACCCTCGTTAAAAGACGCGCGATGCGATCGCTCGGCTGCCTCACGAAGCGTGACTTCTTTTTCCGGGGCACGATATTGGGCGGTCCGAGTATATTACGGCTGTGTACCGGGCGCGGGACTTCTGGTGCTGAAGAGACTTCGCGAAGGAGGGTGAGGAGTATGAAACATGTGAGACTCGAAACTGCGAAGCAGGCGACTTTTGTTCCTTTTTCTTCTTCTTCTTCTTCTTCTTCTTCTTCTTCTTCTTCTTCTTCTTCAAGGAGAAGACTAAGATCCGTATTAATAGTCGTTACATGAAACTTATCTCAGGTGAGATACTCAGATTTGAATTTAGAGTTACAGGCTATTTTTTTTCTAAAATTAAGCGAAATATGAGATGTTTGTTTTCTCTGTCGAGACAAATTTCAGATTGCGAATATTTATATCTTTCTCTTTTTAAAAAAGGGATTCAGACCTCATTCTTTATAAAGAAGAATGCTTATGGTAGTATGATACATGTTATTAAAGTATCTCTTGTATTCCCTCATGATTATGCTATGTGATAAGAGAGATTGGTATGCCGAGGATGAGTGAATTCGCAAGCTGAAATTTCACACGAATCTGTCAGGAGAGACGAGGCGCTCTCGTTAAAGCATACGTCTGCTATAATCACGCGGGTCCTTGAAACGAACTCCGCATTTCTTCGCGCGAACGCGAGCCCGGACATTCTCTTGTTTCGTGTATCTTATCGCGCGGAAATAGCGGATACGCCGCATTTTATCCTCTTCTGCCATCATCGACCGAATCACTCGACCCTGAGCCCTCCTCCACTTTCCAGCCTCTTACGAGGTTTTCATTTCTGGACTGTATTTGGGGAGAGAGGTTGCGTGCGACGTGGGGCGGCCATAAAAGCCAAAAGTTTTAAAGGAGATCTCAGCCATCTAAGAAATTCCTCGAATACTCTGAAAAGACTTACGCGCCGCGCAGACGTGAATAGTTTGTCCTGAAAAGGGGAACCTGTTTTAATTGAGTCTCCCCTCTCTCTCTCGTGGAGGAACAGCATTATTTTTAGCTGTTTGACTTCTTTATCAGGACAGTGTTCTAGTTATAGAAATGATTATGTCAATCTTCACACGCTCGATTTCCGTCTGTTTTTTTCTCCTATTTGCTAAACGTTCGGAAAGGATTTCCGCGAGCATTGCGATGAAACCGTACGTTCACCTACATTCGAAAACCATGCTTGATTATTCTTTCATGAATCTAGGCACAGGTCGGACTATAGGGTTTCGTGATAGCACAGGTTAAAAATAGCGTGCGATCGATCGTTGCGCTTATCAGCTGGCACGGAATATCGTTTAGAAAGGAGCCGTTAACCCGTCACCTACATTCAGGTTGTTATGCATTCAAGCGTTGTCGTTGTCGTCGTCGTAATCTTATCGTACCCTTCCGTACCCTGGTCTGTCATTCTCACGGGACGGGGAAAGCCGCGCGGCGGCTATATCTTCGTCACGCTCCTGTCGATGCGTGACGTCGACTTTCGCGGGAATGTTTCAAAGCCTACCGCGAGAGCTAATTCGCCGCTAATTGCGAGACGACGTTCCCAAAGCGCGTCGTAAATCCGCGCGTTTTTCCGCCGAGTCGTTTTTGGCGACGACGCGCGATTCCTCGCGAGGAGATAATACCGGCCCGCGAGACTGCATTGTTACGAGTCCTCGCTCTCCCTTCGTCCTCTTTCTCCTCTTGCTCCCGCAGTCGTGCGTGCGGACGTGTCTCGAAAGCGCAACGTTAATGACAGGTTGCGAACTCGTCGGCCTCATTGTCA